TAATCTGAGATAATTCATTGACTGTGACTGGCCACATTCTTAGAGACTGGTTGTGTGAGAGTCTCACCCCTAAGGCAGCAGCATGCTCCTTCTATCCTGGTCCGGAATTTCCCATTGAACAGATGACTGCAACTAAGCAGCAAACTATATTTAGCAAATTGACAATTGCCTACTGACTGGTGTTCACTGTGGCAATGCTGATATTTGCTAATAGGGTATGTTTGTCTTACAATACTACCAGGAATGCAAAATGCATGTAAATGAATATGAAATGTAGTATTTTTCTCCCTGACCCTTTTACTTTTTATTTTATTTTTTTTTAAATATGGTGAACACACACATACACATACCCCATGAGATCTTAAAATTCCAATTATACAAACCAGTATTGTTAAGTGTGTGCTCACTGCTGTTCACCATATCTCTGGAGCATTCTTACCATGTAGGACAGTAACTTTACTTATTGGAAAGCAATTCCCTGGTTTCTCTACCTCTACCCTTTGGTTTTTATCCACTCAGGTCAGGAGCAAAGGGAATCAAATCACCTCCGTTTATCTCCACCCTGCCTGGCCCCACTTCTGGCTTTGCTTGGCTTTTCTGGGTGATTTAGAGATGAAGGTCAACCTGTACTTAGCAGGTGTGCAGCTGGCACTATCACAAGCCCCCTAATCATTATCTCATTTACCCCTTTGAACAAAACTGAGGGAGGAGGTGCAGTTGCTTGTCTTCTTCTACAGCTTAGATAACAGACTTGGGCATGCTGACTCACTTCCTTTTGCTTACACATAAAGAAGCTGCCTGAAGATTTGAACCCAGGACACCTGCATCCAGCATCTTCACTGTTGGTAACCCACTAAACTATATTTGAAATACTCCCCTTCCTGGACACATCTGTGCCTATTGCACATCTTACATAAGGACAAGCTGGATAAAAAAAAATCAAAGTAGAATGAAGTAAAGAGAAAACAAAAATCTCCAGTGCGATCTCTGCCCTATTGATTGTCAGATCATGTAAATGCAGAACTCACAAACATCTGAATAGCCATTGCCATAAATTATGCACCTGTATGCTGACAATTAAAACTGAAAGATAAAGCTTGTAAATTTCCTTGTTTTTTAGAAACAACCTATTGTATTTTTTACCAAGAGTCACATGCCTAGTCCATAATGCCTAATCCACAGATATATTTCATTGAGGCCTAATGTTTCTACAATACAATTTTAAATATTTTAAACAATATGTATTCTCCAGTTTGGTGCAGTCTTTCCCACTTCTTACTTTGTCTTTTCTGCTTCACTCATTTGATTTTACCTGCTTTGTCCCTGTAAGCATTCAAATGAAAATCCTGGCTTAATAAATATTTGGGCAGGCATAAGATGATTTTCTTTATATGTTTGGTATATTAATATACAGGACATAGTTTGCTTTGAGGCTTAACTTGTGACAAAGCATTTTCTTATAATGTTTACATTGATATTATGGTACCCTCCTTTTTTAACATTAGCAGTTAAATTGTAGTTCCCTCTTTGATTCCTATTCATTTAATTCTTGATATTCTTTTGGTCAGAAGTAGATTCTTGGTCAGAGGTAGTCAGAGGAAGAAAAGAGCTTTCTTAAAGCTATTATTTTTTCTTGGATGGATTTCTTAGAGGTACTTTAAAAAGGCATCTGACTGTGTGTGTGTGTGTGTGTGTGTGTGTGTGTGTGTGTGTAGCCAGTGGGAATTTAGGTAGGTTTTGAATCAATCAGAGGAGTATTAGGCAAATTGCTTTCCTCCGGAGCCTTAGTTTCCTTATCTATAAAATGCAAATAATGATACTTTACATGATTTGTATGAGGTTTATATAAAATATCAGGGAAAGTACCTTGCATAGGTTAGAAACCCAGAATATGTAGGTGTCTGTTTCTCTTCTTTTCCTTCTGCTTAGAAAGTAGGATTGAGTAGAGACATTGCCAGGGATATCAAAGTATATAAAAGGATTTCCAATGAGAATGTCAGAGAAAGGTTGCAATAAAAAATCTACTCTCGCAAACAATAGCTCCATGAAACGGCCACACAATGTCAACATGCCTTACTATATATTAATTCATTTCTGTATGTGTGCCTACATATACATGAGGCATCTGTGTTCATGTTAATGCATGTGTGCACACATATCCATGTGGTGTTTGTGTGTGGATTAGTGGGTTGGTATATGCAAGTGGTGTATGCAAGTCTGAAATAAACGGCTAGAGGAAGAGAACACATTGTATACATATTTGATGGTAACCCTTCTTCAGTATATTGTAACTCGTGGTATATAAAATAAAGTCCATTTATGATGTTGGTCTTATCTTCTAATTAAAATCATAGCCATGAAGCTTCTTTATACCTGCATAAAATAAGCAGTTTAATTTCTCTGCACCAGGGGAAAAACGATTTCATTGCCTGTTATGTAGCCTGTCGGTGCATAGTGTGGAGCAGGCGAGGCTGGTTATGAGAGCTTCATTCTTACCCAGTATATTTGTGCTTTCAATGTCTGCAAGCCCCACGGATACCTCCCCTGAGGTCTTCTCAAGGGCAGCTGGGTGCTTCCTCTGGTTCCCTCATCCCTTCACTGTGCCAGGGGAGGAGGAGGTTATTCTTTGTCTACAAATAACTCACATAAGAGCTTTTCCCTGGGTTATTCACACATGAATGAATAAAATTATTATACTGCATCCATTTCTTAAAACTGTTCTGATAACTAATGATGACTTATTTCAATGAAGCCAAAGCAAATATTTGAAGGAAGAAAGTAAGCTTGCCTGGGAAGCTGTGAGGGAATAAATGAGAAAGAACTATGAATCTTGGCAGTTAACAGGCCTAAATTTGTTTTAAAGCTGACTTTATAGTACTAATATATGCTCTGGGTAGCATTTTTAAAATCTTGCTTGATAATAGTTTTATTTTATAAACGTGTGGAGTTGTTTGTTTATTTATTTCATTTTTTTGCTTCAGGCCCTGTGGTTCAGAACATGTGATAGAAGTTATCCTTATAATTTGACATCAGTATATCTAAAGACAGGAAGAACTACCATAGGAAATAAACTCACTTGTTCCTTCAGTCACTTTGATAACATTCAGAACTCAAAAGTTGTTGAATCAGGCTGCATATGGGCTGCAGATGAAGCTCAAAATAAAAAAGGGGGCAGGATTTTAAGGGTTTTGGAGTATGGAGATGTCATGGTGATGTTATGATGATTAGTGGTAACATGGTTTTAGGTGGGAGAATGTCTGAATCAGGTTTGTGTTAGAGGATGATTGTTCTGGGCAAGTGTGCAAAGTGGATTGGAGGGACAAGGCCCACATGGCTACAAGGGATTAGGTGTATTACAGTAGTAACCCAGTAGAGAGAGGACTGTGTTTGGACTAAGGCAATCACAACAGATAGAAGGGACTTGATTTTGGAGTGAATTAGGAGGTAAATACACAGGCTTCAGAGTTGAAGGGATTTACAGAGGTGAGGGAGAAAGCAAATTCAAAAATGAATCATGGGCATTTTGTTTCATATTATTAGTAAATGGAAACACTCACTGAGTTGGGGAACAACTGGGGACTAGCAGGGCAGGGATAAGGCAGCACTATGGGGCATCTTGTGTTTTAGGTGGAACATCCAAGTGGAAGAATCCCAATAGTTGAAATTTCAAGTCTGAATCTTTGGAGGCAAATGGGTTCATTTGGGGATTTAAATTTTGAGTTGTCTCAGGAAGATGGTGATTAAAAAAACATAAATCAGAATCGAAAGGAGTCACTGAGTAACAATTTGGTGAGTGAAAACAGAAGGTCCAAATGGAGGGTTCAGGAATGGTCATATTTAAAGAAAATCAAAGAAAGTGTGAGTATCCAAAAGAGATGAAAAGGAAAACCATATGAGTATGATATTATGAAAAAAAAAAAACCAGAAGAGAAGGCTTCAAGAAGGATGGAGTAGCTCATTGTATCCAAGGCTGTGTCTGTTGTGTTAAATACTGGAAAGCTGATCATCCATTGGTGGCACCATTGTTATTGAGGTACTATGAGTGGATGCCTGGTTGCATCAGGTGAAGGGTGAAATTTCAACAGTATTCTAGAACATGTTATGCCATAGGCTCAAATCCAGCTTGGGTAGATTCAGACCCTAGTGGTGGTTTAAGTAACTTTCCAAATAGAGAAGAGAGAACTATTGAGATGTGAACCTGCTCTGATTCCAAAGCCTTTTCAACACACCACTTCTGTCCTCGTGGTTTGGGGATAGAAAACCTTAGGTGGAAATGGTTTTTGCCTAGAAACCTTTGGGAATATGTGCTTTAGAAAATAAAAAGGGGTCATACAACCAGTTAAATCAATTCAGAAAGAACAGAATACATAACTGTATCCTAGGAGCGGGGTTCTTTCCATGACTAAAGAATAATACTATAATAAGAAGTAACAGCAAGATGAAGACAGAGACAGAAAGACTGAGAGTTTTGGTAGAGTATCCCTAGATCAGGGGACAGAGGACCATAATATTCGCTCAGAGATTTGGTGGTAGACTTCAAAAACCAAAACTTCCCAGCCAGGAGTAATGGTGCTACCTATAATCCCAGCAATGGAGGAGGCTAAGGCAGGAGGATCATAAATTTGAGGCCAACTTCAGCAATTTAGCAATACCCTGTTTCAAAATTAAAAATAAAAACTACTGGTAATGCAGCTCAGTGGTAAACCACCCCTAGGTTCTATCTATCCCCAGCACCCAAAAAAAGAAAAAGAAAAAGAAAAAAGCAAGCATAAGGCCTATCTTCGTAAACAGATTTAGCCTTGTACCCTATTTCAGCCCAATTCATCACTAAAGAAAAACTAAAACTGGAAATAAAAAAGGACCCATATTTCCTATAGAGGCTCAGGTGCCCCTTTATGTGCTTTGATATGCCAATACAGATGTATTTTATATTTATTTAATCTTGTACTTATTCCATCCTATGAATTCTATCTGTATTTTGTCCTCTGTCCTTTCATCAGATCATGCTTCTTAGTGATCCTGAAATGGAAAGCAGCATATTGATCAGCTCAGACGAAGGGGCCACGTATCAAAAGTACCGCCTCGCCTTCTACATCCAGAGCCTGCTCTTTCATCCCAAGCAAGAGGACTGGGTGCTGGCCTACAGTTTGGATCAAAAGGTGAACAAATACTGTTTTCATTCTCATCTTGTCACCCGGGTCTCACCCTGTGAAAAGCACTTGTTGGCTCAATTCAGATTTTGGAGAGGAGTCAATGACATTTCTCCATTCCAATCAAGTTGATTTTGTCTGCAGCAAACAACCTTCCTTTCTAGTCTTAAATATCAAAATATGCAGACTATTATATTTTGTATATTGGCAATGCTTTTTTAAAATAATTTCACAGTTGTAAAATGATTTTCTCTAAAATATACTAATTTGACCTTATTTCAACTAGCTCTGTGTAGGAGATATGTTATTATAATAGTTTGATTTTGACTATGGTCAACAGAGGTGCAGTAAGGCAAAGGAGTTTGTTCCAAAAATCTCAGTTGTGTAGCTGGAGAAGCTAGCATGTAAGAAGCACAAGAACAGGGACTTTAGATTATTCTTCATTGTATTTCCTGCTGTCTCCAGAACCTTCGTACAGATGCCAAGCTTTTATGTAATAATTTTGCAGAATCAATTAGTGAAAGGGAAGAGATAAATACAAGCACTGTCTTGCATAGAGATATCCACAGAATCACCTTGGTTGAAATAGCTTCTTTCTGCACTCTCAAATCCTAAAATAGTTATTCTTCAGTATGTATTTGAATATGTGATTGTGATTGTGAATTTGTGTGTGTGTGTGTGTGTGTGTGTGTGTTTGTGTGGGTGTGATATGTCAGGACCTTTAAACAATAATTTCAACATAACCTTTATATCTCTCATTAATAGAGCCTCATGGTGGGCATCAGGTGCTTAAGGCAATCCCCTAAGGACACCCACATGACATTTGCAGAGCAAAAGCCATTGCAAATACACTTCTTTCATGGCATCAAGTGGATATTGTATGAAAGACTTAGCCAAATGTCAGATAGTCTGTGGGTTTAGATGCTTAGTAGAGCCAGAAATTTTGAAGCTATATTGAAAGAAAAAGTAAATTATTTGGATGCTATTAAATGGTTGGATGATAATGTATTTAGATGAAGCTCAGAACTCTTAGCTCAGAACCATATTTTTTTTTCTAAGGACAAGCTAGATTAGGGGCAATAGAACTCTCATACCAAGTGATTGATAATCCAAATGCAGTGCCTCATGTATATCCAGGCATATCCTTTTCCTCCATTTCCACAGCACCAAGAACTTCTGGACCATCGCTCATGAAGTACCCTTGTGGATATAATGCCTTCAAAATCCTTTCAGACTTGATGGCTACTTTTTCACTTAGTAAAAATATTTGGAAATGTGGCCGTGGGTGTTGATGGATTTTCCTAATCACACTGCACATTTCCAAATATATTATTCCTTCGGTACTCTTTCTTGTTGACATCTTTTGCTAAAAGTGGCTGAATGTTCTTCAGATCCATAAAGTTTCTAGCCAGTGCCTGCCCATTCTTCTTTTAAATAAATTGTGTGAGGAGGGAGACGAAGTCCCTGGTAATGTTTGCAGAGATGGCATAAAACACCTAGCCCCAACTATCCAGGTTGCAGAGGAGTTTTTCTTTATTCTGGGAGTAATTTAGTGGTTTAGAGTCAAGGAGAGTGATGTTATGCAGCAGCAAATGAAGATGTAAGTGTAGTTGAGATTGATATACAAATGTGTTATTTCAGACTAGAGCCTTCTCTGATGTGCATGTATCTAGGCAGCTGTTTTCTTCTTGAGAAAATGAAAAGTGCTAGTATTAAGGTAACTGCAGCATCAAAGGAAGATGTTTGTGGTGAGGAGTGAATCGATGTTTCCATTATTGTGCCTTTGATGAAATGCACTAGCAATTTCTTTAGAATCGGCAAGGCTATCTTGTTATGTTGTATGTATTACAAAAGACCTAATTGAATGATATTTTTAAAGGGATAATATCCAATTGCTTTACTTTTCAAACTGCTACCCCAAAGCTGCAGGAGACTTGCCAGTAGATCTCGCTCAGAAAAGACACTGCTGGAAAATTAAGGGACTATCTTCTGGATAAGGCAGAATTGCAGCTAGAAACTGAGAGATGCCCATAATGGTCTGTTAATTGAGTGCTGGGTGGTAGGTTGTGAGTTAAGCGGGTCTTAGGATGCCAGTTGAGGGGTATGGGGGTATGAGATTGGAGTGGGGGGCAAAGATGCTTTGCATGTGACCCCACAGGAGGGGCTTGCCTCAAACTCTTGATGCATCCCAACCTTCCAAAGTCCTGTCTTTCCTGACCAGTTTGACTTGGGCCTTTGATTAGTTCCTTCCTTTCTGGCCATCTTCATGAGCTTTCCATTTCCTGTTAATTTCTGTGCCAGTTCCTGCTCTGCCCATCAAATTCTTTACTTAGTGAAGACAAGACATTTATTCTTGGCTTCTTGGCTATAGGAATCTTTGGAGATGTTTTATAAGAATCTTTGCGCTCTAAAAGGAAAAAGCAGTGGAAGGCTATGGTTGACCGAATTGGAAATGATATAAGAAAAGCGACCCTTCTCCCCTAATTTTGGAATCAAAGCTAACTTTTTTTTTTCCTAAAGACTGTTGTGCATCTATCAGTTATTTAAGAGGTGGGTTGCTCCATTGTTTCCATCAGCCTCTGTCCTCATTGATAACTAAAACAGCTTACATTGTGATGTTTTGGATTATCTGGAGGACCCAATGATCTTATTAAAAACAGATTGTTTTGAAAGATTTTGAGATGAGTTTTGAAGACAAAGAAATCCTAGAAAAGATAGTTTCTATTTTCATTGCTATAGAAGGCTGATTGTTTAAATACTCCTCCTTTTAATAAGGGATGTGGTGCAGTTTTTTTTTTCAAAGGGTACACGCTCCTGTATTCACAGATGTATACATTCTAGTACAAGGGGCCTTCCAAGGATAAAGAGTTGAAAATAGCTATTTTTCTGCATGAAAGGTGGGATTTCAAAGCAATTGTTATCATTTATCTTCTTGACAAAATGATATTTTTACCAATACAGCAGATTTTGGAGGTCAGAGGTGAGGAACTCAATGGGATTCCAGGTTCCATTGTTTGCAGGCCCTTCTGGTCTAGACTGCTCTAGAACAGCCCATCATTTCAATGGCCAAACACACTTTCTGAAACACCAGCATGTATAATGAAGGGTTGCTTTTATAGGAGTTGTGGGGGGTGGTGCATGCAGCTCAGGGTATTTTAAAATACAAATTTATTTTTGATTGACCTTTCATAATCGCGCATGTTTATTTGGTACAGTGTAATGTCTCTATTCGTGTATACATTGTGTCATGATCAAATCAAGGCAATTAGCATAGCCATCACTTTGATAATTTCTCATTTCTTTGTGAACTCTGGGATTTTTTGCTGATCACTAGCCAAATTCAATAATAGCTGGTGGATTGACAAGCTGGCTAAGAAGCTGATGTATGGTTTTTAGGATGGTGACTGGCAGTGCTGGGCCCAGCAGAGAGAGGTGGATGGTCCAGCGCAGGCTTTGCTGATTGGACCATACCTGAGCAAGGCACTGGTGAACAAGAGTGTATGTGTCTTGTGAAGGGCCTCAGAATTCAAAATTGTCCTTCTGGAATGCTGGACACAGGTGAAGCTGTGCCTTTCATTTATATTCTCATTCTCAACAGTCAGACTAATAATTGTAGTCAGATGCTCCTGGATTGGTATGTGATGATAACTTTCTTGGTAGCTACTCGCGGAAATAGGCTTTGTCTCTCCCTACCTGTTGGAGACAAAGCTGTTGGGGATTAACTAGGGATGATCATAGGTTTGGAACTTGTCATTCTTGGGGTAGGGATAGAATGGTAGGGCACATTTAATTGGAAACAAAAACAAAAACAAAACAAAACATTGCATTTTCCTGAGGTCCTCTTCCATTCTTTGAAAACCCAAGGACCCAACAATAACAACTTAACAGAGGAAAAGTTTATTTAGGGCCTCTTGGTTTCAGAGATTTAGTCCATGGTCAGTTGACTCTAGCTCTGGGGCCAAGGTGAGGCAGAACATCATGGCGCAAGGGCACCACAGAAGAAGAAGGCTCAGGACATGGTAACAAGGAAGCAGAGAGCGAAAAAAGTGTCATCCCCAATGACCTTCTGCCTCCTAATGCTCTCAGGATAGAAATTCAACCATGGCAGAGTTTTGGGACAGGGAGCTACAGCCACAGGTAGGTCCAGAAGTAGAGCAGTGTGGCGTCATGGTTTCTCCTTGTCACCCACCTGCTTCCACCCTGACTTTGTTTAATTGTGTGTGCAGCCTCTTTGTGCTCATTCCACCACCCTAACTCCCACCTCTTTGGCCAAATCCTGACTCCAGATTTCTGGTTTTCTAGTTGGACTCAGGAATTGTTTTGCTAGCCCCTTCCTTTGCAAATGTTTCTGGCCTTAGGCTCTAGTCTATCTACAGGACATGTCTTTTAATTTTTATTCTTTTTTTTTTTTTTTTTGGCCTCCATTCTCTGAAGCATTTTTACCTCTCACTCTGTTGGGGTAGCAGCTGGTTGGAGTCTGGGTTATGTTTTAAGCTTTTTATAGCAAGTTGTAGTGTAAGTGCAGAAAAGTGAATGTATTACCATGAGCCTGAGGAAACTAGCTACCTGAGCAAGAAACTTTCTGAACTCCCTGTTGCTTCTCACATCGTCAAAATCTCGACCTTACTGGAGCCACCATCAATTAGGGTCATGTTTAATTTCATGCATATGACTTATGACTGGCTAATCTGGCAAGGGAACAGATAAGATCAATTCCTCAGAATAAAGGTTAGAAAGTAGCAAGTAAGGCAAATTGAAAAGAAGAAATGTTTCAACTGAAAAGCATTAAACATTAAACATTAGAGAATTTGTTTAAGCCAAATGCAGATTAGCTTAGCTAATTAGAAAATTCATAAGAAAACTTTCAAAATTATCCATTTGAAATTAATTTAACAGATTTAATTTTTAAAAATGTGTTCTTTTTTTATACCAGTTTTGGCAAAATTTTGGTGAAACTCGTGTTCTGAAATAGTATTGATGGGCATGCAAATTAGTTTTCCTTCCTGGAA